AAACAGTAAAACAGAAATGACGGGATGTATCACGGCAGTCACAGCTGTATGGTAACGTAAATGACTGGCATACTTCACAAAAGACCAGACGTTGCATATAACCAACATGACAATAGAATGCGAAGGGGAGCCGGGAAATAAGTCTGGAACATAAGATGTTCATTTTGGTGTGGACGGTAGGAAATCTGCAATGACGATGAAGTTGATTGAACAGATTACTGCACAATGGGCTAGATCATGGAGGATTACGTTAACGTGTAAATGATAAAAACGATACTCAGAATCGTGCTTGACTTACATCTCCTGAAGCAACAAACACAGTATTGACTGCATAATGACTGGCATACTTCATGACAAACCAGATGCTATAACCGCCATGACAATACACACGCCGAGTAAGAAGGAGGGAAACCGAATCATTCGAATCATTTCCGAATCATTTTGATTCGGGCCCGGATCCAAGATTCAAGATTCAAGATTGCCCAGGGGTCTTGCCAAGGAATCTTGGATCCGACCTTTCATCCGAATCATCCGAATCATTTCCGAATCATTTTGATTCGGGCGCGGGCACGGATCCAAGATCCAAGACTCAAGATTGCCCAGGGGTCTTGCCAAGGAATCTTGGATCCAATGGGTGAGTGTCGGATCCAAGATGCCCAGGCAAGACCCCTGGGCAATCTTGAATCTTGGATCTTGGATCCAGCGCCGGGACCGAATCAAAATGATTCGGAAATGATTCGGATGATTCGGGGCTATTCTGGAGGGAACCCGCCAATGACATGAAATAATAAAGTACAATCTGCAGGCACTGCCCCCAATCCCAAACTCCCACGCCATCCTGAACCTGAGACTTAGGAGAAAGGCTTGGGGACGAAGGGGATCCCGCGGACCCATGCCTTCCGAAAACTGGGATTTAGAGGAAAGGCGTGGGTAGATGGGGGGGTACCATATATATATATATATACACATATATATATATATATACATGTATATATACATGTATCTGATTGTATACGCATATGCACATATGTACACATACATATCCATCTATCTATCTCTCTGTCTGTATCTGTCTCTCTGCCTTCTTGCCCGTCTGTTTGTCTGCCTACTTCCTACCTGGCTGGCTAGCTGTCTCTCTGTCTCTCTATCTGGCGATCGACCGGTCTATCTCTCAATCAACCAATGAATCCGTATCCCCAGCTTTATCCTTATCTCTATCTCTACCTCTATCTCTGTCTCTATGGACCTGTACCCATTGTTTCGCGCATAAGTTTGGGAGACTGCATAACATCTGCTCACATTGTGTGATGCAACGCACTGCATGTAGCTATTCCATGGTAAGTGAGCTACCGGACCCCGTCAGCTGACCCATGGAAAAGATGATATGCGTGTACATATACGTATATATGTATATGTACACGTATATGTATATATATATATATATATACATACACATGCATAAACAGATGAACACGGAAGGTCTGCAGCAATAGTGTTCTTCAGAGAAGGGAAACCCGAATCTGAAGGATCACACAACATGGTTCAGCACCGGAACGGACCGAGATGCTTCCACGGAGTAGCCGCAACAAGAAGCACAGTAAAGGAAGAAGCCAGGAGAGCACATTGATTTAGGAGAAGAAGAGGAATTCAAGTTGAGACAAGGAACTTCCCCGCCTCTTTGTTCTTCGAGGCCTATAGCTTCAGGGCTTGTAGTATTTCGGTTGTAGGACTTCGGGAGCACAGCTCTGAAAACCTAAACTCGTAAACGCAGCCGGAGAAGCTGCTTTAGCGCTGCATGGCTCTGCTCGTAGCCA